TTTGAGGGGGGAGGTGAGGGTTTCAGAATTTGTGACCGGCCATGTATTGGATATAGCCAAATACGCAACGAGGGGGGGGGGGGGAGGGAGGAGTATAAAATTGATCAAAAATATGCTATGTCATTTTTGGATGCTCCCTTACAGAGAGCAGACAGAAATGGGACAGAGAGCATTCCCAGCAGTAGCTACCAGCGAGGAATGACCGGAAATACACATGAAAGTAGTGCGGGCGAAAATTGATAAAGAGAACGCAAAGAAACAAAGGATTGAGGAACGACAAAAGAAAAAGGTTGAGCGAGAGAGGAAGAGGAGGAAGAAAAGGAAGAAGAGCAAAGAAAGTTCCCTAATAAACATATACCATGAACGAACTTTATCCCGGATGGGTAAACTTTCCCACAAATGGTTTGGATGATACCCCGAACATGTCGTTAAGCTCTCTATTATGGTTATTTTTATTAGGGTTGGAAGCAAGAAAGCATTATAACTTGAAAAGGCAATGGTAACAATGGAGAAGAAGCAGAAGAAAGCTGTGGAGAAGAAGCAATGCAGGATCTGTATTTTTATGATTATTACTCTCTTGACGTATTAAATTAAATTAAGTTAAAGTCGTTATTTTACCAATTTTAATTTTCATGCACAAAACAAAAAAACTAATCCTTGATGTCAGTTCATTGTCTTTTTTTGTTGGTTTCTAAGATGGTTGTATTTTTCTTTTACTTATCCGCCATTATAGGGCTACCATCTTAGGAACCGGTTAATTTATCGCTTGATGCCAGTGGGTTGGTGGAGTTTCAAAGTATGGCGCATCTTGCACGTTATCACATGTAAATTTCAAAAACCTCGAAGTTGTGATCGGAGGAAAACTCCAGTAAGAATATTTAAGCCAAAGCACTGGTATAGAATAAAATTTGGAAGAAATTAATCCTTAAACATGATATTAGTTAGCATAAAAATCCAGAACAGTTACCTTCTTAAATAAAAAGAATTCAGTTACCTCTCCTTTGAATCGATTGGAGCATCAATTAATCTAACGCTGATATCATTAGTTAAAAAAGTAAAAGTAAAATAAATGAACTTGAACTTTTGACGAATGATTCTTATGTAAAATCGTGCACTGAATTCAACAATGTAGTCGAAAAAAAATGTCAGTAGGATAGTTTTTGAGATATAGCTAAAAAAGAAAATTCACTTTAAACAAGTTTGATTACTATAATACAAATATCTCCGGTTGTAATGAGATTATATCAATTATTTTAACGCTAAATTAGAGGTAAGAAATTTTTTCGTTCGATCAATTGAACATCAATTGTCAGTGAGATTGATGGTATTGTTGTTAGTTAATAGTTTGTTTTTTAAGTTTTCCTAAGAAAAATTGAATTTCTGCTAAGTTTTTAAGCAATCTAAATTAAAATGTTTATGGTGGTTCTACCATTACTCTCACGGAAAAATAGTGTGTTAAAATTTTATCATGTTTAATTTGGCGTTAAAATAATTAATATCACTTCATTGCAGCCAGAGATATTTGTGTTTTAGTTTTTTTTTAACGTGAGATTTCATTTTTTAGCAAGGGAAGGAGGGGCATAGTGAACAGGCGGGGCATAGTGAGCATCCCGTACTTTGGCTCTGGATCTCCAACTGCATGAAACAAATCAACTGGTAGTAGGATCAATATCATTAAGATATTGATCCTACAGCCAACAAATTTGTTCTGAACGGCCGGAAGTCCAAGCTGGAGCACGCGCGATGCTCACTATGCCCCACCTGTTCACTATGCCTCTCTTACCCCTATATCTCCAAAACTATCCTACCGAGATTTTTTTGGACTACATTTTTGGATTCAGCGCATGATTTTACATGGGAAATGACCATCAGCGTACAAAGTTCAAATATGCTGTAAACTAGTGTATTTAAACGAATATAGCTGTTTTGGACTCTTAGCCAAGCAACTACAAAAAAAAATCCTGATTCAAGATAGCAACACGTTTTTTTTTCATTGATTTGGATCGATTTACATTCATGTACGGATTTTGATTCATGACTGTACGGATTTTGATTCATCCTCAACACAGTGTACGGATTTCGATTCAAAACTGTACGGATTTTGATTCAATCGTAAAACGCTGTACGGATTTTGATTCAAGATATGTGCAATTTAAATCCTTTTTTCTAATAATTAAAGGTAATTTTAAGACCTGGTGTTTGCAAATATTGGAAAAATAAAGATAAATGTAAAGGAAAAAGATGTGATACAGAGCATAATGTGATAGCATTATTTAGTATTGACCGTTAATGATTCTCTCGTGCTTAGGTGTACGGATTTCGGTCCCGCACGGTAAATGATAGTGGGCGGATGTGTCCGTCATATGTTTTGCTTAGCCTAAATGCGAAAAAAAGTATATATTTGCTAATTTTTATATTAGAAACTGTCACTAAAAACACTAAGACACTCTTTTTTACCATCCATTTGACGTTAAATAAGCCGAGGAACATATCATCTGAAGCAACGAAGTTTATAAAACATTATTTTTTGCTATATTTGAGCAAAACAGTAACAAGCAACATTACGATTTTTTTCAAAATTTTTTGATATCGCTACACTATTGCAGCCATAAAAAAATATTTAATCAACAGAACTGCACAAATCATTCAATTTAAGATACTCTTAACATGTAAAAATGATAAAAAATATTGAAATAAAAAAATATCAACTTTAATTTTTGAGGTTTTGGCCAGCCAGGATCCACTGTGCTTCGGTCCCAAGCTAATAGATTTCCAAGAACTCAAAGCACGCCCACGCAGACCAACATAACCATCGGATTGGGGAAGTGTTTCCCTATCCGATGAGGGGGTTGGTTTGCGTGGGCGAGCCTTGAATTTCTAGAAATCATCGATTGAAGTCATTGTTTACAAAAGCTGTTAGGCCCTAATTCCAGCTCTATCTAGAATTGTCGCCCAACTCGCATTACTGGTTCCAAAGAACAACAAGCCATAAGCAACGATTATTTGTTGATGTTTGGAGCCAAATTCTCATATGGAAAATCAATGAGCGTAAACAGATGAGGCCCAGTGAATTTGACATCTCTTTTGTTCTTCGGCTGTTTAAATTGATGGTGGAATTTGACGTAAAAACAAGCAATTTGACAGATTAAAGTACGAGAATGGGATACGCTAACGCTAATAGATGTACTTGAGACCCATGGGCAGTCAATTTAACACGTGTTGATTGTTGGTTAATGAGCGTTTTTTAAAGGTATAGCGAAAGAATACAGTAGGATTGTGTGGCTTGCTGTGTTTCCAAAATGAGCCATTAGCCATTACATTTAGCGGTAACTACCGAACCTTTTTTCAATTAAAATGAAAAAGACCTATTCTACGTAGCGTGTGAGGTGAAGTGACTGTCCGTGCAAATCAAATGGTGAGTCACCTCACCCGAGGTGACAGTTCTTGCGACACTTTTCAAATAGACCAATCTACATTGATCGATTCTCTTCATTGACTCTCTCTTTCGTTAATAACATAGCTGCATTTATATTTCGGTCTAGTTTTTCAACATCGTCTGTTAAAAGAATGCATTACTAAGCGTATTGGACGATAAGAACAGCTGAACATGTTTTTGGAGCGGAGTTATTAACGAAATAGAGTCGATTTGAAAGGTGACGCGAGAATTATCACTTCACTGTCACCTCACCTCACACCCCTAATAAAAATTGTATGGTTAATTTGCTAACGACGTGTTCTGGGTATCATCCAAACCATTTGTGGAATAGTTCAATGATTTGGGTTATCGTTCGTTTATGGCTATTTTTTATTAGGGACCCCGAGAAGACTAGGCCTATATGTACAACATCATAATGACCCCAAATAAATGCACTGATTATGAAATACCTAAGCCACACATAAAAAAAGAAAAAAAAAAAAGAAAACTATGGTCGAATAAGCATCTGACATCGTACTAGATAATGCATCTCAATCAACATTGTAGTAGTCGCCAACAGAATCCAAAAAACTATAGAAAGTATTGGCGAAAAATGGCGAAGTTTAATGTATTCAGCTTCAAACCCTGGAATGAATCAGTTTTATCTAATTTCACTATGAACATATATTTGGATAGAGCTGGAATTAGGGCGTAACAACCTTTGTAAACAATGACGTCTCTCGATGATTTCAACTCTCGCGTCACTTTTCAAAAGGTTCTAAGTAACAAATGTAAACAAATCAAGATAAGCGATACAAACTATTGCTCTTCTATCATTGTATGTGATACAAAAACATAAATCCAAATTTACTTTTATTTATTTAAGAAAATCATTGATCAAAAATTGTCCAATGTACAGTTTGAAATGATGGGTAAATGATTGTTACTTCGGTCATTCGGACTGCCTAACATGATTGGTGCTCATTTTCCAAAGGCGGGGCCAATCTAAAGTTAGGTACTATACTCTGAAATCTGTGAAAGCGAATCTAGTATTATGTAGACAAAACGTCCAATGTAACACTCATTGATTATGTCATTGAGAAAAACCGTCCAATGTAACATGTCCGATGTACAACTCGACTTGTCAAAACGTCCTATGTGGTTTTTTCTATGTTGTAGCATGAAATTCAAAGTAAAATTGTGATTTTACCGTTTCTTCTGAATTTTCAACGGTATTATACACTGACTACATTAAAAATAGTATTGCAAAATGTATTGTTTTTAAACAGTTAAATTAATAATCTGTCGAACTTCAACTTCGATTTTCTCAAAATGGTGGATATGTTACATTGGTCTATTTGAAAAGTGACGCGAGATATATCCATCGAGTAGGGGAAGTCTTCCCGTACTCGATGGTGATGTCGATTTGCCAGTGAGAGCCATGGCTTTCAAGAAATCATTGTTTACAAAAACTGTTTCGCCCTAATTCCTCTATCTAGATATCTCACATTTACCATTCCCTAATAAAGTTTGAATGGTTATTTTGGATTTCTTTCGATAGAGTTCATAGTTGAACTAACACATATTTATCGTATTATATATTTACAGAAATTTAAAAGATCAACTTACCTCAAACTAACATTTAGGTAAATGTATTCAAATCATTCCATCGTCATCGTCGCCTTCCTCATTAGCATCCGCCGCATCTTCATCATCCATCAAATGGTCGAGTTTCAGTTCCTTCGAACGATCGCGCTTGCTGGAAACCGTTCCCAGCTTTACCGTTTTGCTTTTCTTCATCTTCTGCCCAATGACATACTCAGGCATAACGACCTTCGAACCCTTAACCTTCGGTTTATCCTGCTCCGTCGGTGGTGGTTCATCATCCTCTTCCAGCTTGGACTTCAATTTAATCGAACGGTTGAATTTAACTTTTCCTTTAAATCCGCTGGACGTTTCACTGGTTTCCTCTTCATCTTGCTGATCTTGTTTTTTATTTTCCATCTCTCGCAAGAAGCTAAACGCGGCAGCCGTGTTGCTCCGGTCACTGGTGTCCACATCCTCCAGCGAGTATTTGGTCCACTTTTCCGGATTTTTCTGGAAGGGCAATGCATTTTCAAATAAATTAAGCTACGAAAAACATTCAACTCACTTTAAAGTCCGGAACCCTTGACGTGGGTAGGCATTTGGAAATCGGTGCTGCCGGACGCTTGAAGATGCTTTCCTTGCCACGGAATTTCCTGATGGGAGTGCACTCCGATGCCGATGATCGGCGATCTCTTCGATCGGAACGGCTTCCATAATCTCTGCCCGAACGATTCCTATTATAGTCGATTATGTCCTCCTGGTGCAGAACTGAATCCGCCGGAATGCTACGTTCGGCACTTTCCAAACTGGCAAACAGTGCCTTCTTTTTGTCCTCGAAACTCATGAAGATCGATGAGAATTTTAACAAATTTACACAGAAATAATGCTATGACGCCTTTTGTTTTGATTTGCAATGAAGTTTATCAACATCAAACTTTGCCACCTGGGGCATGTTCGAAAGTGCTCGGTTAAACACACACATGCGCAAAAATCAGCGTACGAGTTCACGATTGTCAAAAATATCCAAACGTCAAAAAGGTTCTCGCGTTGCGAGAGAAAAATAGTTTTTTGTGCGAAAAGTTGAAGGGAATTGCTGTTATTTGGCCGGATTTTAGGAGAAAAAGTAGTGTTTTTCCTGTTTTTGGAGTAGTAAGTATCATGTCTTTATACATTTGTTGAATTATGGCAACCAAGCTTTTTTTTTTGTTTCTGTACTGATGGGATTTTTTTTATAACCTATAAGGTTGCGGCTTTTGGACGACGAAAGAGTGTTATCGGGTTTTGTTTACAACAAAATATGTCAGCATAATAATGGAACATCTCAACATTAATTTTTATCAGCTTTGTATTTGCAATGATGGGTAAATAATTTACGCCCTTATGCATGCTCTCTGTCGATTTAACTCTTTTATGGCATTTTAAATTGCAAATTGAATATGTTTGATTCCATCATCCTCGTCATCCTCGTACACTGTACCAAAACGTCCTCTGTTTGAATGAAACCTCAGACAATTCAAATCGAAACATTGATTTTTCGAATGATAGCTGCTACCGTATGGCGGTTGTTTTGTAATCAGATGATGCTCCTCTAGGATACAGGATGACCATTGATACGGGAAGCGAACATACCTCAGTGGAAATTCGTACGTTAGAATGATTGTCATCTCAAATTGAAATGCATATGGTATTGGTTCAGTCCCATAACGCAAATCATCCAAAACGATGATGTTAATAATTCTATCGAACTTCATTTGCTGATCTGAGCTGACAGACGAGGTGGAACCATAGAGGTAACTCTAAGACTAGTACGTCCCCCGAAGAAACGTGCTTAACTTTTTGGCTCAGCTCTGGTCATCGTCATCGTCATGCTATCGTTATCAGAGGCGGTATGAACATTGGTAAAGAGTGGAAACCAAAAATTGTCTCAGAGTTGGTTGGAAATGCTATCTAACATGCAGCGTTAGTGTGATAATTTACTAGCTAGAGACTGGTCTTAGAAGAGGGTAGGTAGAAAGTTCCGTTAGAGTACGGCAGTATGAAATTTGAAAAGAAGTTGAAAATTTAGCTAAGGGCCATTAATGCGACAGTACAAAGTCAAACGCACACCTTTTGCCTAACTCGTACGATGTAGGCGGAGCTTCATGTTAGATAGCATTTCCAACCAACTCTGAAATCGCAAACTTCGCGTAGGAAGTAACATATAAAAACACTTTGAATGCAAAGATTGTCTATTTCGTGGTGGAGGCAGTTTCCTCTACCAACAAACGATTTTTGTATCCATGATCATGATGACTATTCAATATGGAAATGTCAACAATCGCATTATAAACCTAATTTAAAGCATTTGCAAGTCATCCTATTCATAAATTGTTGTCCTCTGAGCGCTGTATGTTTTAAGTGGACCCTAAACGTATTGTTAATACATTCTATATTGACGTCAATATTTCGGTATTAACAATATTTCTGCATTCACACCATCAATATGTTTATCAATAATATCCCTTCGGGGTTTGCTTTACAGTCATTTTTCAATCAAGGGGTCAAGGCTAAGGCTGTTTTGTAAAAATAGAGGGAAATAATATTGAAGTCTCACTGAAAATCGGTCAATACCGCCGATTAATCCCAGGCATACATCTCTTTCTGTAAAAAGTTGTGGTCCTGAGTTGTGTTCGATCTCCACTACGTTGATGCAAAAATGAGCTTCGGTACGACATCGTTCTTTACTTAAAGCTCATCTCACACCTGCCCGATATCTTCCGGTCACAGCGCCTGCGAGAATGTTTAGCACGACGGCAGAGAGAGAGAGAGAGAGAGAGAGAGGGTGACAATGCAATCCACCTCTTGCTGCTTGCCACGCCGTCCGAAGTGGAAATAAATAAGCAGAGGCACGACAGCAGCGCTGTTTTATAACTTCAGGTTCAAGCAGAACGATGTGCAACCAAGGTACTCGATCATGACGACTGGGTTTGGGGAAAACGTTTATTTCATGAAAATAGAGAAAAATTATCAGTTTTTCAAACGTTTCTTTTCATGAAAAATTGGAAAAGTAATTATTTCAGCAGATTTGTAGATAGTTGAAGATGCTAATTTCAAATAACAGACTAAAGTGGTAATTTTTCTACGATAGATGGAGGAGATGAAAGTCAAGAATTGATAGTTCCGTTAGAGTACGGCAGTGTGAAAATTGCATATAGATAGTAGATAGCGAGCTAGGACAACTTTTAAGGAAGGTACAAATCGGTTTTTCATCTCTCTTTACCAAACTCCCCCTTTGGAGAGGGATGGTGAGGGGTGTCCCCCCCCCGCCACCACTGGACAGTCTCATGAAACTCATGAAAATCGATGGATGGCGGATGGAATTTCGATCTACCAAAAATTGGAACCAATTCAATATATTGTAGACCAAAACTTGAAAAGTTACTATAGTTTTTTATAAACAAAACGTTGATTATTCTTTCCTCGCCAATCGAACATAAATTACCAGATTCATCGGATAGGGGAAACTTTCCCCATCCCAAAGATGGCTTTAGTTTGCGTAGGTGAGCCTTGAGTCACGAGAAAGGGGTTTCCGAAGTTTTGTTCGCAATAGCTGATGTGCTCTTTTCTGTTGTTGGTCGTGATTTGCTCGCTTGGTTCCGCTATTCGATAGCTCAATTAGTTCCCGCGATTCTATCCGCCTTACCAGGCATGGCAAATCATTTACATTCATTTCGTGCATTCATTTACAATCATTTGCCTCTAACTTTTTCCATCAACAGAATTCCGTTAAAATGATGTATGAAACTTTTGTAGGTTTTGATATTAACTACAACTTTTGTCGATAACTCAAATCTGTACCTCTTTTGCATGACGAACTAGAGCGGACAGAACTTGTTAATATTTTTGAGTGAATGTAATTTACATTCACTGAAAAACATAGGTAAGTTCTGTTCGCCCCAGTTCATCATGCATAAGATATACAGATTTGAGTTATTCAAAAAGTTTCTAGCTAATATCAAAACCTACAAAAGCTTCATACATCATTTCATGGAATTCTGTTAATTAGGTTTTGCACCGTCGGGGTTAACCTCAATCGGATGACAGTTCAGTGGTACTGTTTACGTGGACTTATTCGATTTTTACTTAGGTAAATTTTCTCGAAAAATATTCAGACTGCAGTGAGATGTAAACCACACTTCTGCAATGTCCGCGAGCAACATCCTGTCATCGCGCATTTGCTCAATAATTTTCAAATTAAAATTCTGGCATTTAAAAAAAATATTTTTTTTTTTTAAACTTTTCAGTGCTTGTAAGGCTCTGAACCATTTGGTGGATTATTTTAACTCCTGGTTAAAATTTGACAGATGGAAAGTTATCGATTAACCCTGCTATCCGAGCGTGCCCGAAAAAAAAATTACAGTGAAATTTTCAGTGGAAACAATGCTCTAACATTAATATTTATTGTCGACAATAAAAATGATTGTTATAATGTTGTACCCTTCCGAAAACGGCAAAAGTGCTATCTAGATGTACAATGAAGGTACATAATAAAATGTTGTTACAATGATTTTTATCGTATTTTTCATTTATTTTATTGTTAAGGCTCAAATGTCAATCAATCAATCACTTGCTTGTATTTGTTTTCCATTTTGGTGGTATTGGTGTTATCGAGAATATCACAAATCATGAAAAACTAATACAGCTACATCTTACGTATTTTATGAGATTTGATAGATAGGTAGTATTGAAATCATGCTGCTTAGTATATTTTCTTAAAATCTCAGGTAGGAGTTCGTCCCAAAAGTACTCGAATGATGCACTCCATGCAGCCAATTTATTTATGGTAATAGTAAGAATACAATAAAATACCCAAGTACCAAAAACAACTTGTGATCTGACGATCAAATGGTGAAACGACCCCAATGAAAAAAATGTCACTGAATCTGGATATTCAATCTATATGATTTATGTACATTTTTATTTTTAGATGTTCTGTTTGCCAATGCACTAACTTTAAATTACAACCTCATTTTCTATTATTTTTTTAAGGAACATAATTTCGAAGAAATCCATTACTTTATCTTCAACTCTCACCTGGAAGTAGAGTTTTTTTTTATCCAATGTGACACTCTCGCCAGAACTCTTACATCCCATCTTAAACGAACTGTCACGAACAGAGCCCTTTATTGCTTTTTGATTATTAAAATAGTTTTCCCGTCTGCGGAAACGTCTGAAAATAAATTTTGTTAAATGTTGATATCAGTGAAAATAAGGACGCAACTGTATTATATGTTGATAAATGACCATCAGGAATGCAACAAAAAAATTATGACATTTGTCAATAAACATTTTGCGGCCACTGAGGCCGTACTGAAATTTATCATTTATCAACTGACTGATTGGAGCGATATTAATTTGGTCTGTCTTCGGGTAAGACACGCACGGGAAACTCCTTGTCTTCACTATCATTTTCCACTGTATCACCAGCTCAAATGATTTTTTTTAAGTGCTTCTCGTTTATGTGCAGCTATTTGTTCTTTCGATTCCCGCGGCATCGTTCGAATATTGACTAGGTATATTATACGGAAGTCACGCACAGCTGCACTGTGTTGTTTGTTTGTAAACATCAGCATAATCATATGGTCGAACATATGATATTTTGGTTAGTCGTGTTGCCGGTTTACCCAAAAGAGAAAATATGTAATTTTATTAAAACAAAAATTCGATAGAAAAGTGTCATCTAGGGCGATGATTTTATCTTTTCAATAAATAAAATATTCCTGAATAGAAAATAATTGAGTTGCTCTGCACAAAGATGCTTCTATCAATCATAGAATTTATTTTACTGAATCTTATGTAATAGTTTCATGAAACTGTTTTGGCAACATTGGCCAATGATTGCTGCTAGGATAAAACATGAGATGCGTAGCTTAACGCATACATTCATAATGTGCGCATGTGTCAGTCTTGTTGTGATCTTTCGTTGTTTACCGGTAAATCCTGAATTAAAATACAGTTTTTCAACTAATTTTCATTATAAATCGGGTTTAACTTATTAGATTGTGAAAGTAGATATATGTGCAGATGTAGTGAAGACAATTTAAATGCTGTATCCCTTCTGGAAGTGAGTAGAATAAGCGGTGTTCAATTTGGCTCTGGGATTTTTTTTATTGTGATGACTTTTTGTGTGTCGTAGTGCTAGGCCAAAAAATAAATTCTATGTTATTGAAAAGCAGATATCTACCCAACAAAATGAGATGTTGTTTGAATAAAAGGTGAGTGCATTAAGATAATGAATCAGAGCAAACTTCGAAATACTTGTTGTTGGTGTATTTCGTGTGTTTAGGCTGGAAAAAGCTTCAGAAGTTGTGGGTGGTTATTTTCATCAACTCGTTCCCACTTTTTGATGATCATCATTGATGACACCTTCTGAGGCTGACTGTTAGTTGCCTCTTAACATGATTCGATCATGAACAAAAATGAACAACTCTATTACAATAAAAAATGTTGTTACATTAAATATTGATGTGTTTTCATAGTGGGTTACGTCACGAACAATAAAAATAAATCTAATTGAAGCATGCAGACTATGAGAGGGTCAGCAACACTGCCAATGTAATCAAGATAGGCGCTGCCCTTATAAAAAATAACCATAAACGAACGATAACCCAAATCATTGAACTATTCCACAAATGGTTTGGATGATACCCAGAACACGTCGTTAAGCAAATTAACCATACAATTTTTATTAGGGTGTCTGTATGGCTCTGGCTTTGACAGTTCGTTTGGCTGACCGATATCGGAATTGCTCGATTCGTTGCCAAGTCAATTGAACGCCTACGACCAGATCGGTTTGAGTTGCATTCAACTCACCTGCCTCATCTAAATCCCGCTTAATGCAGACCTTTTCCGTGCAGTCAATAATCATACAATACATAATAATAAAAAAAATCCACCACTTGAAGATGTCAGGAAGGAATTCTCAGGTGGAAGCATATTTCATGGGCGATTCTCTCCAGTCGAATGTATTAACTTATCAACGACGCTCAACCACCAAGGAGGCGTGACCTAGGAAGATCGAGTGCAGGGGAGTTGGCCTGCATTTCTCACAAGTTCCGGATCGAATCTCAATCCAAAACCATTAAAAAAACACTCACCCGTAACAGACATACTAGCGTGACTGCTTTCTCACCCCAATGGGTCTGGGTTCAATCCCAGTCGAGGTCGGTGGGATTTTTCTGAGGCATAAAAATCTCTGGTCACGTCTTCCTTCGGAAGGGAAGTAAAGCCGTTGGTCCCGGCCCATGTGTGTTGATGAATGGGTGCGATATCCTACGCAGGTGTGGAAGCTGCCTTCATGCACATTCGATTGCCGTCAATGGATGGCAATCGATGTCCGTCGGTGATTGGCACTAGATTGCGGAACAGAGACCGACGTTAAATAAAGGAAAGTATAAAAGTATATATTTTCCTTACATATTAAAAGAAGGGAATATTCCCTTCTTTATCATACATCCAAAGAATTAATTATTTTCCCTTTTATATATTCAAGAAGGGAATATTCCCTTCTATATCGTTTATCCAAAGAATTAATTATTTCCTTTTCTTATATTTAAAAAAAGGGAATATTCCCTCCTTTATCATATATTTAGCGAATTAATGATGTTTTCTTTTATATTTTCAAAGAAGGGAATATTCCCTTCTTTATCATACATCCAAAGAATTAACTATTTTCTCTTTTATATATTCAAAGAAAGGAATATTCCCTTCTTTATCGTTTATCTAAAGAATTAATTATTTCCTTTTCTTATATATTAAAAAAAAGGAAAACGCCTTGATCCATTAAGAAGTTTTTCTATTCTTTTTATATACGCGAAAGAAGATTCCAGGAGTGACTATAATAAACAAAAATAGTCAATCTAATACATGGCATACTTTTCTGGGGAATGGTACATTCTGGGGAATAGTTTTCTGGGGAATAGTTTTCTGGGGAATGGTTTTATTGGGAATAGTCCGTTCTGGGGAATGGCTTTCTGGGGAATGGTACATTCTGGGGAATAGCATTCTGGGGAATAGCATTCTGGGGAATGGCTTTCGGGGGAATGTCATACAATCGTCTTATTGTGTTTTCATCAAATTAAATGATTACAACACAGCAAACGTTTTATTTAACACCAAAAAATCGATTATTTTTAAATATTTGCGACGCCAAGAAAAGGGTTCTCCAGTTCCAGGTCCAGCAGGGAATCCAAACAAGGTTATCGAGGGCAACGTTCGCACACATGGCATTGGCTTTTTGCAGCTGAGGGAAACATTAGGTCGCCTTAGGTCCAAGATGACTGGAAGCGATGGCCTAGGATTGAATTGAAAGTAAAATAATTATCCACTCTGTAGATTCAGCAAAATATTAAAGTACTTACTTTTCACACAGGAGAACCAAAGAATACTCAACCTCGAAATAGCGGCAAATGATGTTTTTGACAGTATGACATTTAAAAAACTGTTCCGTAATTTTTACAAGAATCTGGTACGTTACTACCGTTAGTTTTTTAAAGACTATTTTTACAGTACGTTCGCAACAGTATTGTAGAATTGCAGTATTTACAGTTTAGATCAGTAATTTTTATTTGCAGTTTTTGGTAAATTTCGGAAAGTACGGAAATTCAGTATTATTTATTGCTGAAAGTTAGTACAACAGTGTATTTCACAAAGCTTTCGGTAAAAATTATTTTTTACAGAACGAATTTAGCAAAAAAGTACCGAATGGAATTTAAGAAATTTGGTGTGTACTACAGTTTTTTATCTGAATGGCCACATCTGTGGCACAACGTGGTTCGTACGATGTGCAGAAGCTCGTGAGAGTGTGCGTGTAACTTCGAAGTTCGAACATTCATTTGACAGCTTTTGTTTTGATCGATCAGTCAGTCAGTGCAGTTCCCCAGTTCCACATCAGTTAAATTACTCGACGTGAATAAAATTTTAAAAGTTTATTTTACAATCTTACGATTCAATAGATTTTTTTTACCATTGAACGCATTTGAGGTTTTAGTGCTCCCTGTATAATTAGTTCATAACGCAGCAAAGGCAATGCAATGAATCTTCAGGAGGGTCTGATCGCTGCATTTTCCGTATTTGCTTCACTGGTCATTGTCCTTGTTGTGGTTTGTTTAGGTTCGTTTAAGTTTTACGCATTAATCGCATTGTGTTGATCGCATTCCATTAAATGGTGTTTAAACATTATTTTCAGGTTGGTATCTGGTGTGGAAACTGTTCCTGTCCCGTTTCAAGTTGGTCCGTGAGCTGCTGGGACTGGCGCAATCGTCCGACTCGCCGACGCACGCAGAGAACCTTTCTGGAGACGGTAGCAGCAGTAGAGCACGCAACGCCCGCAAGGTGCGAAGAGATTAAACCCCCAGAGAGAAGGAGAAATTATTTTTAATTTGAAGCCCGAAGATAGCTGTCAGCTGCAACCAAAATGAATATCCGTTGCGCAAAGCCCGAAGACTTGATGAACATGCAGCATTGCAATTTGCTTTGCCTGCCGGAAAACTACCAGATGAAGTACTATTTCTACCACGGACTCACGTGGCCACAGCTCAGTTACGTGGCCGAGGATGACAAGGGCAACATCGTGGGGTACGTTTTGGCTAAAATGGAAGAACCGGAGCCGTGCGAGGAGAGCACCCATGGTCACATCACTTCATTGGCGGTGAAACGGTCCTACCGTCGGCTGGGGCTGGCTCAGAAGCTTATGAATCAGGCCTCGCATGCGATGGTGGAATGTTTCAATGCACAGTACGTTTCGCTGCACGTGCGCAAATCGAACCGGGCAGCCCTGAATCTGTACACCAATTCGTTGGGTTTCCGAATTCTGGAAATCGAACCCAAATACTATGCCGACGGGGAGGATGCCTACTCGATGCGACGTGATCTGGCCGAGCTGGCGGTGCTGTACGGTGCCGGACGGGAACTGCCACCGGAGAACAGCACCGACGGGGTGATAGCGAATCACAAGGGCGGAAACCATGCCGGGCACGATGGACATTGCTGCTGAAAGGGGGAACGTTTTTTGAATTCGATAACGAAATTGTGCACTTCAGTGTGGAGTCCGACACAATACACACAACAATTCAATAAGAAATGGTGAATGAAAATCGGCGCAGTTGTGATTTGGTCCGAAATTTCCGGAAGGTTTGTGATATTATTGATCCAAAACTGGTTTAGTATTTTCGAATAATTTACTTTATTATCGATAATATTTTGCAAACTTCATTGATTTGATGTGTTTGTTTCTTTGAATTGCGTCGTCACATTAGAAGTAACCTGTGAGTTGCTGTTTAGTTTTAAGACTACATTTACACGACTACACTCACTTAATTGGTAGTATTTAGACATTTTTTTTATAGTACCATTTCATCGATTATTCGTGTTATCTCAAGTATGAATTTATTATACAGACAGTAGTTTATATTGATACACGTCTTAGTAGCAAATTGTAGGTATAAATATAAGTACCAAACCGAATTTTCCCGATCGATTAGGTAGTGCAAAATTATCTACCTTCTTTTCTAGATTCCAATTAATTGTATTAACTTCTTCTAATCGACTCTGATGCCAAAAAGACCACTGCGAATGTCTTTTGCGTTGGAAGTTTTTCTTTTTACGAATTTTGGCTCATTTTTTCCCAATTGCAGAAAACGTGTAATTTGGTGTGCGCTATTTGCTTACTCTTAAGGTAATGCGTTTCAAATGTTTTTTTAATTCAAACCATAAACTCAGAAAAATTAACATAGTTGAATACTGATCCTATTTACAGAACTGACTCATGCGGGGGGCTTAGGAATATGCATTGACTTCTAAATTAGGTAGATTAGGTTAGGTGCTACACGGCGAAACGAACAGTCAGTTAGATAGACATTGATGGTGGAAAATTGGTTTCTGTTTCGCTCTTCGATTTTCGTCCAATCGTACCATGGTTTTCAAGTTAGGTTACGTGAAAAATTGTTGTCGATTAGTTGTATTATATATATATCACAATGGTAATATACAATGCGTTTATTAGTAGTGACAGTTTCTGATTGATTATTATGAAATGCGATTTTTCGTTTTTTCCGTGTAGACAAAAATCTGACTTTTCGAAAAATTTAAAGTTTTGACTTTATGTTTACAAAATTTTTTTTTCTGTTTTTGGCATTGTATGTTCTGTTATGTTGGCCCACTTAGTTGGTAAAGTTTTTTACCGGTGAATTCTGATACTTTTTTTTTCGATGTGTATTGGTTGTTTGCTTTCTGATGAGTGGTAGATTGTTTTGATAGTGTAGGTAAATTGACCAAGAATGCTTTTCAAATGTTGTTTTCAATGTTTCTCTGAAGTTTTTTGAATAAATTGTTCTAAAGTTCTCTTAACGTCTCTGATCTGAACTAATACCCACTATTGAGAATTCCGGAGGTATCCCTGGATTTGGAAATTTATAAGCCTTCTTAAGGATCTCTTGAATTTCTCTGAAGATCACTAAACTCTTCTAATGAATTCAGCAAGCAGCTGAAATATTGGGACAGCGTTTTAGGGTTAATTATCTAATTTCCGGCCTATTAAGCACAACCCGCACTTAGTCTTTCTTAATCTAGTGCAGTTTAGTACCAAACGGAACGTTATTACTGATGGCTTCCAAATTTATTTACCTTTCCGTACGTACCGTAAGATGTGATAAAAAGAAACCAATCGTTGAGATATTGTCAAAAGTCTAACCAGTGATGGAAAAGTTCATCAAAGTTCCCTATGACTCGCGAACTTTTCCCTTGGTGAACTTCGTGAAATATCGCGAACTTTTCCAACACTGAGTCTAACACTGCTTCTTGACGCCAAACTCGGCCTACGGATTCAAAACTTGGCCTAACGCATTGAAACGCCAATGAATTCACTTCGGCCTATCGGATGAAGATAAAAAGTGATTCGGTCGGAACACTTCTTTTGTTTTTGGGAATACTGGGTGCAAATCTTTATATCACGCATTCTCGTCGACTTCGTTCCGTAGCTTATAAACTAAAGTATCGTACCAAACGCACAATTGACTTGTTGACTCTGAAATCAAGGATTTATTTGAAGTTTTCTGCTCGATAGGCCCAAAATGGGCGATTAGGCCGAAGTAGTTATCTACCCTATATGTCGGCAGATTGTAAAAAAGGTAATCAATGTTAGCATTAGCATTAGCATAAAACAAGTTACACAATATCGTAGGTGGTACGAATTCAAAACTATTAAGGGGGTATTCCCGATCTTTTTTTTCAAAAAATCAAATTTTTTTTTTTCACGTTTTTTTGTACTTTAGACTATATACTTTCATCCCCCCAAGCCGTTTTCCGATCAGTGAATTCGGTGTCCAGGCATAGCTGACTAATGGTAAGAACCCCCAAATGGTTTTAACTAAAGTCAAAACTTTAAACGCGTTTTTCTCGAAACCACATTTTTTTTATCGGGCGAAGATTTTTCTCAGAAACTATAAGAGATATTGACTTGAATCTTTGCGCATTTTGTTCCTTATTAAATTCTTTGGAGCTTCTCCCACTTTTAGCCAAAAATATTAACATTTAAAATTGTTTGAAGCACCTTAAAGCTGCAAAAAAGCGGGCTAAAAATCGCCTGTTTTTTCATATGGCCGCCATTTTGTTAATTTGCAAGATTTTTTGCTGCCAACGGGAGAAGCTCCAGAGAATCTTATGCAGATTATAATTTCATCACGAAATCTGTTTCAGATGAAGCCGTTCCAGAGAAAAGTCTTCGCCCGTCCAGGCGTTTGCGGCGAACAGGGGTCTGTTTGCCACCATTTTGTGACGTCATTAATGTCTTTTTTTATGTCGAAAAAAATTTATTTGTAAACTTGAATGTTCAATAAACAAGAATCCCAAAGAGTTAGGCGCATTACTATTCATTTTCCTTGAAAAAAAATTAATTGAAAAACAGGCCGAAAAAAGGTAAAAGATAGGGAATACCCCCTTAAGAGCAAGACGGACATCTATTACTGGACAGATAGTAAGTAGGAAATAATTACTATGTCCCAGATAAAGACATATCCCTTTCCAACAGTTAAGGGTTGTCCTGGCCACGTCCTTGCAACTAGGAAGGATAGCAAAGGTATGTTAGTCCAACATTTATTTAAGAGAGATGCAGAGAACCCTACGACCCCTCATAAATGTCTCAGGAATTTAGCAATTTTGTTAGTACACTGAGGAAATAATTCGTTGGAATTTCATACGAAATGTTTATGGAATTTAACCAAAAGAATTTGATAACGGCACAAAAGCATTTGTAAACAAGCTTTCTAATGCCCTTTACACGTGAACCAAAGTACGCCCACGCAAACCAACAACATCATCGGATAGGGCAACTATCACCTTTCCGAAAGTGGTATTGGTTTGCGTGGGCATACTTTGGTTCGCGTGAAAAGGGCCTTAGAAAGTTTGTTTACAAATGCTCATTGCAGAGCAGACTGGAACCGAACCATGGACGTTGAGATTACGGGGCCCGTGTGTTGACCATTCGTCTATCAACGCTTGTGAAAATGAAATGGTTAAAGGCGCATAAAAGCAAGCTCAATGAAAATAAACTTATTTTTGAGTTCATTTATTATTACTCAATAGTTGAGTAAATTTTAACCAACGCCGCTTTTCTGATTCACTCAACGGCGGACCTCAAATGATAGAACCCAACGTTGAGTTTTTTTAAACTTAATTTTGAGTATTGTTTCTTACCGTGTATATGCCTTTTGAAACTGAATTGAATGTACAGTCAGGAATCCTTATTGCCGGGGTAACGGGGGCGTGAATAAGGAACCGCGAATAAGGATACCCACAGCTTATGGGATTTTCACTAATGGGGGCTGTAGTGGATTATCTCATTTGTTTCAATACATAAAGCTATACTGTCTTCGACAAAGTTGCTGTACTGGGTTAGACCAACAAGCCTGTGCCATTGGATTCAGGTTAAATTGGGAACTACGCCGCTAGAGGCGCTTCACTTTTATGTTACTTATGACGGGCGCTATAATATATGGATCATATTTGCAACATAGAATATTTCGTGATCCTGACCATATAGAAAGTTACTGTCTTCAGCAAAGTTGTTCAGGTGATCAAGTCCTTTCGGATGGTGGCCATATTAGTTCAGCACTCTCTCACTACGCAGCGCTAGTGTGCATGTGCAATTCCTATATAAACTGTATCTCGAGAGCCTGGCCATATAGAAAGTTGCTGTTTTCAGCAAAGTTGTGCAGGTGATCAAGTCCTTTTGGATGGTGGCCATATTAGTTCAGAACTCTCTCACTACGCAGCGCTAGTGTGCATGTGCAATTCTTATATAAACTGTATCTCGAGAGCCTGGCCATACAGAAAGTTGCTGTTTTCAGCAAAGTTGTGCAGGTGAGCAAGTCCTTTCGGATGATGTTCATATTAGTTCAGTACACCTCACTACGCGGCGCTAGTGTGCAAGTAAATTTCCTGTATAAGCTGTATCTCGAGAACCTGGCCATATAGAAGGTTACTGTCTTGAGAAAAGTTGTTCACGTCACTAAGTCCTTTCGGATGATGGTCATATTATTTCAGAACCCTCACACTACGTGGCGCTAGTGTGCACATGAACTTCCTTAATATGTTATGACTCCAAAACTTATCCATATAAGATGTTGCTGTGCAATGTGAGAACAGGAACTGGAAATCGATGTCAGATGCCATTTTGGAATCCAAGATGGCGGCCATCGGTTCAAGAAAAACTGTCAAATACCGTACAATATGGATATTTTTGGAATGGGGATGACGTGTAGAGGCCGGAAATCGTTGCCAGACGTCATTTTGGAATCCAAGATGGCGGCCATCGGGTCAAGAAAAACTGTCAAATACCCTATAATACGGATATTTTCGGATAGGAGATGACATGTAGAGACCGGAAATCGATGTCAGATGCCATTTTGTAATCCAAGATGGCGGCCATCGGGTCAAGAAAAACTGTCAAATACTCTACAATATGAGTATTTCCGGAAAGGGAACGACGTGTAGAGGCCAAAAATCGATGCCAGATGCCATTTTGAAATTCAAGATTACGGCCATTGGTTCAATAAAAACTGTCAAATACCCTACAATATGAGTATTTCCGGACGTGTAGAGGCCGGAAACCGATACTAGGCGCCATTTTAAAAACCAAGATGGCGGCCATCGGATTTAAGAAAAACTGTCAAATATCCTACAATGTGGGAATTTCCGAAAAGGGACGACGTGTAAAGGTCAGATATACATTCCAGACGCTATTTTGGGATCCAATATGGCGGCAACATGTTTTCCATAAATAAGGCTTACCAAGCATATTGCGTATAATTTATTGTGTATAGCGTATCATTGAGCAAGATCGCAACATAACGTGGAAAATTCCGCAAAACAATAAAATGCTTTGCTACAGATTTAATCCACATTTTGTTTTCTCTTTCGATAACAAAGAACCAACCAGCGCTGTCATGTTTTATGCATTCTAGTCACTCTCGTTCTTCCACACCGTGAGATGGGTCTCGACTTCCCTTAGCAAATCTTGCATTTTTGCACTCCGTTCAACATTGCTGTCCAATGTGTAGAAACTTTCGACCTCGGATAGTTGATTTAGTTTTAACTCGATTTCTGCCGCACCAGGTGGTGGATGAAAATATCAACCATATTCACTGTAGAGTGGTCCAGGAATAAATCTGTAGTTTACGATAGAAAAAAACAAAACAATTAAAAGCGTTTTATTGTTTTGAGGAATTTTCCACGTTATGTTGCGATCTTGCTCAGTGATACGCTATACACAATAAATTATACGCAATATTCTTGGTAAGCCTTATACATGGAAAACATGTTTTTTTTAACTAGTTCGTTTATTTGGAAGGCTCAATCACGTTAGCTTTACGGAGCCGATAGTTTATTGTTCTTTGTTAGTAACAACATTCACTTAATTCTATGTCTAGTAGGAGTTGGGCCGAATACTCGCGGCTTACTCGAGGTAAGAGAGGTACATTGTCGAAGGATAGGATCAGGGGAGGAGCTTGGGGGTAAGGTTTCGTTGTCTCATCAGAGCGTTGTCACCAGTATGAACGGTAGTGCAGGATTCCAAAATAGCGTCTGGAATCTATATCTGGCCTCTACACTTCGTCCATTTTCGGAAATTCCCACATTGTAGTGTATTTGACAGTTTTTTTTAAACTGATAGCCGCCATCTTGGATTTCAAAATGGCATCTGGCATCGATTTCCAGCCTCTACACGTCGTTTCCTTTCCGGAAATACTCATATTGTAGAGTATTTGACAGTTTTTCTTGACCCGATGGCCACCATCTTGGATCCCAAAATGTCGTCTGGCATCTATTTCCGGCCTCTACACGTCGTCTCCTTCCAAAAATATCCATATTGTAGGGTATTTGACAGTTTTTCTTGAACCTATCGTTGCCATCTTGGATTACAAAATGGCATCTGACATCGATTTCCGGTCTCTACATGTCATCTCCTATCCGAAAATACCCATGTTGTTGGGTATTTGACAGTTTTTCTTGAAACGATGGCAACCATCTTGGATTCCAAAATGGCGTCTGACATCGATTTTCGGCCTCTACACGTCGTTCCCTATCTGGAAATACCCATATGGTAGGGTGTTTGACAGTTTTTCTTGACACGATGGTCGCCATCTTTTATTCCAAAATGGCGTCTGGCATCGATTTCTGGCATCTACACGTCGTTCCCTCTCGGGAAATACCCGTATTATAGGGTATTTGACAGTTTCTCTTGACCCGATGGCCGCCATCTTGGATTCCAAAATGACGTCTGGCATCGATTTCCGGCCTCTACACGTCGTCCCCTTTCCAAAAATATCTATATTGTAGGGTATTTGACAGTTTTTCTTGAACCGATGGCCGCCATCTTGGATTCCAAAATGGCATCTGACATCAATTTCCAGCCTCTACACGTCATCTCTTTTCCGGTTCCTGTTCTAACATTGCACAGCAACATCTTATATGGAAAAGTTTGGAGACATTACATATTAAGGAAGTTCATGTGTACACTAGCGCCGCGTAGTGTGAGAGTTCTGAAATAATATGACGATCATCCGAAAGGACTTAGTCACCTGAACAACTTTGCTGAAAACAGCAACTTTCTATATGGCCAGGCTCTCGAAATACAGTTTATATAGGAATTGCACATGCACACTAGCGCTGCGTAGTGAGAGAGTGCTGAACTAATATGGCCACCATCCGAAAGGACTTGATCACCTGAACAACTTTGCTGAAGACAGTAACTTTCTATATGGTCAGGATCACGAAATATTCTATGTTGGAAATATGATCCATATATTATAGCGCCCGTCATAAGTAACATAAAAGTGAAGCGCCTCTAGCGGCGTAGTTCCCAATTTAACCTGAATCCAATGGCACAGGCTTGTTGGTCTAACCCAGTACAGCAACTTTGTCGAAGACAGTATAGCTTTATGTATTGAAACAAATGAGATAATCCACTACAGCCCCCATTAGTGAAAATCCCATAAGCTGTGGGTATCCTTATTCGCGGATAGCCCGGCAATAAGGATCCGGCAATAAGAGATACCGGCAATAAGGAATCCGGCAATAAGGATTCCTGACTGTAATCATGACCCAAGTTGACACTAATCACATACAGAAAATCAACGTAATTGGTTGAAGGACAGCGGAGAAATAGCGGTGGGTGGACGGTACCACCCACCGCATACATGAAGCGAATGCTGTATTTGTTTCAGGTTAAATGAGAAAATACTGAATAATTTCCCGCGATATACGAGCTATAACCGTTCCCCCAATCGCAAACCAATCCACCTCTCAGAAAACAAAACCCAAAAGAATGCTCAAATTTGAGATCACTAGACATGATAGCTTTAGAAAATCGAACCCTAGGAATGGGCTGCTTACTGCTGCACCGCGTCCAGCATGGCGATCTTCAGATCGCTAGCCAGATGCGAAATGTCCACCACGGAATCGACCATCTCCTGGACGGCCGTCACACTGGGAAAGTGCTGGGCCGCTTTCTTCGTCTTGGCCACGCACGTTTTGAGCGCTTCGGACAGGGCATCCGCGCACTGCAGCACCCGCGTTTTGACGTTCTCCCGCGACACGTTCCGATGCACAATGTCCCCGATGTTGACCAGATTGTGGGCACTCAGCACAACGAACTTTCCGTAGGCGAGGAAAAACTTCGGCGGCTGATTGTGCTCCACCGTCTGCAGGAAGGCGTCGATCGCTTGCGTTAGGTATCCCATGTGCGTCACCGTTTGCGTGGCATAGTAAACCAGTACGGATTTGTCGTTCGGGTTTAGGGCTTCCGTTTTATCGCTGCCGGCGGCTGCTGCCGCGTCCGCATTCCGCACCACGTTCTCAAAGTTCTTCTTCAAATCCTGCGGCAGTGCGTCGTGAATTTCGGCGTTGGATTTGGCCGAGGCTTCCTTCGATTCTAAACTCACGTAGTCGTAGTCTTCGGGCCATTCGCCTTGGTTATTATTGTGGTTGATACTTCCGGGTGTGGTCTTGCTGTGTCCGGTTGGAGTTTGTGGTGTTGTGGCAGTGGAAGAGGAAGTGCTTCGCTTGAACAAGAGCGTTCCGTTGCCTTGGATGAACGAAGCCGTCTGTCGGACGTCCTCCGTCAACGTTTGGGCACATGCAATCAGCTGATCCAAACTGTCCGGAGGTAGTTGCTGTTGGAGCTTCTGCGTGGCCTCAGGTCGCTGGAGCGTCACCATGGTCCAGCCTTGGTTGTCCAGGTTTTGTGATGCCTCGTGAACGAGTTTATCCGCGTCGCGCAAAGCTTTCACCAGCGGTCTCAGCTTCTGTGCTAGGCCTACGAAAGTTAAAGAATAATTCGGTTAGTCAACAGCTTCTAAAACCGCGACTTATGTACGAAATTACCTTTATCCTCAGCTTTGGATGCATTTCCCAGTGCACCGTCGCCAAACTCGGCTAGATCGTGCAGAGCAGTTCGGAGCCGCACAGCGGCCAACTTTAGATCCATCAAAATCGGATCCAGTTTTTCCTTTGTCCTCCAATTAGGCGAGACAAAGCCAAGAAGTCTGCAAATGATCCAAAATCGGGTTACTATTCTACCTGATACGGCAGAATTCGTGAATACATACCTTGAAACGGCGGAAGTCGCTTCGTTCTGTAACCGAGCGAGAGTCTCCAGCGCGGACGACAATTCCAGCGGAAGTTCCTTCGCGGGAAGTGGCGTTTGCACCTGGTGCTGCTGCTGCTGCTGCTGCTGTTGCTGCTGGTGAAGAGGAGTCTGAGGAACATCGTAAGTACTAGTGCTGGAGGAAAACGACGACATCGACATCGAATGGTTGCTGCTGAAGATGCCACTGGTCTGCGAATGGGGTGTGGCAGGTTGCTGCTGTTGCTGGTGCGGTGGGGGAGGTGTGGAACGTATCGAAACGGGATTCCTCCGTGGAACGTCATAATCGGGCATGTTGGCCAGGGAGGATCGATTCGAAGAGGACAGACTCAGACTGTCCGAGGTGAGCAGCGAGGAATTGGAACTACTGGGGGTGAGGTTCTGTTGAGCAAGTAGGTTGTTCACCGGTCGCGGGACGTCGTAGGATTCCTCCATTCTGTAGCTGAAGTGGTGATGCGCTGGGTGATGATGGCTGCTGTAGTTCGGGGTGTGCGGCGAATGGTGCGGATTTTGGTGGCTGTAGTGTGGCGGTGTTCGTGACCACGCCCGTGGTGAGTCGTAGTTTATGGGAACGGCCGGCTTCGGGACGTCGTATGTGTCGAGGGCGTCGGCCGAAGCGGAATGCTGCTGATACGGGCTGCCTCCTCGGGTCGTCGGGGTCGGTAGCAGGTCATACAGATAGACGTCTCCACATTTCTGGGGTGTGAGAACCTGGCGGGAGGGAAAGAGATAAACGGGAAATTCGTTCATTATAAGGTACAAACGACAGGAATGGTAAAGTTTTGTGAGCGGCAGACAAGGAATAAACTTTTCAGACTGCAAGTGGTAGAGAAGGAGGTAAATGCGATAGCATTTGGCCTTTTCTCAGCGCCGAGGCTGACGAAGAAATGCAATTGAAAAGAGCTTTTTTATTGCATTCTTAGAGTTACGATGATGATAGATTCCTCAACCTCTACAATGTGAAGGAAGTGACATCCGATAATGAATAGTTATGAGCTCTTGTATTTTTTTTTGCAGGGAAGTTTATAAAAATGAGCGGTGAATGCAGGTCGAGCGCTGAACGGGCTTATTCAGCGCTCGACCTGCATTCACCGCTCATTTTTATAAACTTTCCTGGTAAAATTCACAAAATTAGTTCATGCGTTTAACCGTCTGATTCATTCGTTTAAGATGCCTGCTGATGATATTTAATATTATATTTATTTTCAACTATTGTTTGACCAGATAGTTATTGAGGAACATTTGACAATTCCATGGAACATGGAATTGCTACCATGAGTGTTTTGATTTGGCTGTGGGAGACGAAAAATATGACATTTTAAATTCTTATGAAAACTCTAATTCTTTCGACTCAAACGCAAAGGTTGGGAGTTTTGAAATATTTTTTGTGATGAGAACTCCAGGTGAACCTAAACTCGAGAAGTAGTTATGAATACTGATGCACCGAATAGTGCTATTTGGTTAGGTATTCGGCATTTACACCAAAATGTTATCTAATATTCGGCCATTTCCAATCTAACAAGTGAAGCATAACTATTCAAGTCGACGTATCGAATTTTGTAAACTATCACTTCAATCGACGATTTGTGGCAACTGCTAGCTCACTCACAGAAACTAGCAACACCAGCTAGTAGGGGAAAGATTCCGCTTCCTGATGCTGGTGTTTGTTTGGATGGGTGAGTTAGCAGTTAAGACAAATCGTCGATTGAAGTGATTGTTTACAAAAGCAGATACGTCGATTTGAATCATTTGAATAGTTGCGCTTGAAGTGGCCGACAAGGTGTTTGAGCAAAATTTTGAGACACCCAAGCTTGATATTCAGCCGAATACTATGGTGGCCAAATACTCGGTGCATCAGATTAGTTATGAGCTGTAGCATTCCAAGGAGAATTCCAGATGAATTTTAAAAATTTCAAAAGTATCCCGACGAAAACTCCAAGGAACTGCTGAACAAAGTTTCAAGGGAATGCTGATATGAACTATTAGAGTAGTTCCAAAAGAATTCGGAGTAATTGCTGGGAGCATTTCTCATCACACACTTCGCAATTTCAAGAGCTCAAATCTCAAGCTTCTCGATGCCTAAGGCCGTTCGCAATGCTGTTATATTTTGAAACTAGAACAGAAACTCACCCCTCGCAATGCTGAGTTGCAGTTTCATTGCTCGAACACTATTTTGCACAATATTTGCAACTGCTCGACAATTCAGTGTTATTTCTGACCGGGTTTTAATGTATTTGTTGATGTTTCTCATAAATGTGCAGAGAACTTCATAGTAGTGAAGAGGATTTAATAGAACTTTGGGAATTTTACAGAAGTTTCGGGAACTTCTTAGAAGTTTGGAGATATTTCACTTTCATAGAAGTTCGGAGAACTTTATAAACATACGAAGAGCTTCACAAAAATATCGGAGAACTTCATAGAAAACAAGTTTCAGAGAGTATCATTGAAGTTCAGGTAATTTCATAGAAGTGAGAGTTATTTTATAAAAGATCGCGGAACATCAAAGAACTTCTGAGAATTTCATGAAAACGCTTGCGTCTTTTACATCAAACAGATATTCTCTCATATGGTTTCAGGCAGCTCAGAAATTATTCCAACGATCTTCAGGTGTTCTAAGATCTCCATGAAGTCCTATTGATATATTTTCAAGGCTTCAGATCTTCAACTATCCAACAATTCAAATCACGTTTATTAGATGTTCTCTTATGATACCAGCACAGACAAACAGACATAACTCTCGCAAGTTGTTCATCGAAGAAGCATTTAACGGACAATTTAACACTACCGCCATCTGTTCAGCGTAGTGCCCACCACAGTGTACTCAATAGATGGCGGTGATGTTTTAGCGACGATGTTTTACAGTGATTTGTTCAGTTGTTCAGAAATTATTCCGAAGACCGTCAGGCAGGCTTGCAATTGCTCATTACAGCTAAAATGCTATTTTTCGTAATTATGAAACAATGAGATACTATAATGATAATTTTTATTTGTAAGATGCAAGAAGAGGTGGTAAAGTTTGTCACAACTAGCGATTTTATGATCGCTGATTGCTCGCTCATCGCGTTGCTCATCGTTACAGCTAATTGTTATTGTGACCCTCTGAAAGCTAATTTGACATGTTTTATGTGTCATACACACACTTTACCATCTCTTCTTGCATATTATTAATAAGAATTATCATTACAATATCTCATAGCTTCATAAATCCGAAAAATAGCATTTTAGCTGTAATGAGCATTTGCAAGCTTGCCGTCAGGTAATCAGAGATCCCCATGATAACCTCAGGTTACCTTTTCAAGACGTCCGGTTGATCAGGTATCATGCTGAAAATATCCAACAATCCAAATCACATCTATAAGATATTCTCACATAGGACATCAGGCAGTGGAAAAATTATTCCAAAGACCTTCATGTGTTTTAAGATTTTAATAAAGCCCTGTGGATACTTTTGCAAGACTTCAGTTTGAACAGGTACTATTCTATCAAGCTATACAACAATTCAAATCACATCTCCCAGATATTATTTCATGATACCAGGTGGCTCAGAATATATTCCAAAGACCGTCAGGTAATCAGAGATCTCCAAAAACTTGTCATGATATTTTTTTCAATTCTTCAGGTTGATCATGCACTATTCTGAAGATCTTCAACTCAGAGTCGATGTTATAATAAGAGTCCCACCAAGAGAAAATGTTGCGAACAAGCAGCACTGTTTGTGATTTATTTTTTGTCAGAGTAAACGGCAACCAGATTTTTTGCGTTAGCATCGGATGACTTTCATTCAGAAGAGAAAAATATCATGTCGATAACGGAGCTTTCAGGAGACAAAAATAATTATAGAATCTGAAAAATGTTCAAACAAGTGCTTGGTATAAATTATAAATACCACAATGTACTAAATAAAGCGAAGAAATGTTTTTCATCTAAAATTACTAAAATATTGTCAGTAATGAATGCAATACTTGTAGTTCACTGGCTGCGGGAACAATAATGCTTATTTACTTTGCTTATTAGGTACCCCGCTTGACAATTCGATTGGTACTTCTGGCTTCACTCTTATTATAACATTGATTCTGCTTAAACTGTCCAACAATTTAAATCACGTCTCACAAATATTCACCCGTGATACCAGGTTGCTCGGAAATTGTTTCAAAGACCCTGAGGTGATCAGCAATCTCCATAAATAATCAACAATCTAAATCACACCCCTAAGATATTTTCACAACCCTACAACTACAGGTAATCAGAGATCTCCATCAAGCACTCAGAATATTTTTTTCAAGTCTTCAAGTGATCCCAAACTGTGCAACACTTAAAATGATGCCTCTCAGATATTCTCTCAGGAAACTAGACGAGTCCAAATTTTTCCAAAGATCTTCTGGTGATCAGAGATCTCCAAAAATTTCTCTGGATTTGTTTTCAATACTTCTGGTTGATCAATTATTCTGAAGATCTTCTACTGTCCAGCAATTCAACCACACAGGTTACTCTAAGACTAGTAGGTCCCGAAGAAACGTGCTCAACTTTTTGGCTCAGCTCTGGTACTATCTTCGGTCCCAAGCTAATCGATTCACCCCTCGAAACATAGGAAAATTCACTAACCCCTCATTTTATCTGTCAAACTTTCATAGCGAATCAAAACAAACATTGTGTAGTACTAGCTTGGGACCAATAGGCTAGTCAAGTAGTGAGCCAATTTAAAATCGTTAGTTTCGTATTGATTGTTGATTCAACTTACGTCTCTCAGATATTCTCTTATGATATCAGGTTGCTCAGAAATTATTCCAGAGGCCATCAGGTGATCAGAGATCTTCATTAAATCGTCAGGATGTTTTTTCAAGCCTTCAGGTTAAATAGGTATCATTCTGAAGGTATCCAACGATTCAAATTGTGTCTCTCAGATATTCTCTTATGATGACTCAGAAATTATTACAAAGACCTTCAGGTGATCAGAAATCTTCAAAAAAAATCTTTTTATACGTATTTTTTTCAATACAGTCAACTTTCGATCGTTGGGCATAATCCGTAGCCCACTTAGTGGAAGCATAGAGGTAACTCTAAGACTAGAAGGTCCCGAAGAAACGTGCTCAACTTTTTGGCTCAGCTCTGGTACTCTCTTCGGTCCCAAGCTAATCGATTCACCCCTCGAAACATAGGAAAAACCAATAACCCTTCATTTTATCTGTCAAACTTTCACAGCGAATCAAAGCAAACATAGTGTAGTACTAGAATTTCGACTAGGGTACGCTTATAGATGTTCTTGGGACCAATATGCTAGTCAAGTAGTGAGCCAATTTAAAATCGTTAGTTTCCACTGGTGTGGAAGTTGGGTTGAGCTGTCAAGCCTGAAAATTGGTTGAGGGATACACATACAGATACACATATCATCGCAATCCTTTATTAAATTTCCGAATTGTTCATACATGAGCCCCTCGAAAATGAATCAGCACTGTCAGAAATGACGTTTGACTTCGATTTAGGTTGGCTATAGCCCAACTAACGGGAGCCCACCGAGCGAAATTTGACTGTACTTCAGGATGATCAAGTATTATTATAAACAACAATCAATACGAAACAAACGATTTAAAATTGGCTCACTACTTGACTAGCCTATTGGTCCCAAGCAAACGATTAACGTACCCCATTCTAGTCGAAATTCTAGTACTACGCAATGTTTGTTTTGATTCGCTATGAAAGTTTGACAGATAAAA